TGGTGGGTGGTAATGACTAGCTGCCTTCCCTCTAGTCTTACACTGCTAAATTAGGGATGGCTAGTGCAGATAGCCCCCATGTAGCTATGCGCGAAGTTCAAAAACAAACAATATATAATTTTACTTGACTAGTTGAATATAATGAATTATTTTGAAATGAATTAATTATCATTTTTTATTAACTTTTTTTAAAACAGAATAATGAGTTCTAAGTAATATGATTCTCATATAATATTTTAAAATGTATCAGTGTTTTGTTTTACTGCATTATTTATGCAGTTAACAAGGGCTTTTGTATAAAAAAGTATGAATAAAGTTGTTCTGGCATGAGTTACTTTTGGAATTTTAACACATGGAATATACGCCTGGAGAATTTAACATTTTTTTATATTGGAAAAAAAATTGTTATAGAAATTGATATCAAAATAACATTTTTTTTTTCTAAGTCACATTGGAAATATTAGTTTCAAGTATTTTATAGACTAAATTAAACTAAAAGTCACTTAAACTGAATAGTGTTTAAAACATATTAATATTTGTTATTTATCTCATTAGAGAGACGAGCTGGTTGATTAATTTAATATAATCACTTATCTGTGAGCAGTGATTATGTTGACTAATGTTATGAAAACAATCAACTAATCAAAACTAGTGTTTCTGATTATTACTGTTTGAAGGTATTACAACAATCAATTAATCAAATTTTATCATTAAGTCAATTAACCATATGTCCTCAACAGGGACAAAGTGTGCATTTCATGACCTTTTACAGAGTTACATTCAAAATTTGATTAACTTTATTATCAGTTTATATCAGTGAACTTGACATCAAAACATAGTTTATAATTCCAATGTTAATATTATCTACGTTTTAAAGAAAGTATTTTTACTAAAAATTTGTCTGCGAATTTATGTAGCCTTTACTGAGTTAGTCCACGTGAAAGGTGATTTTTATGCTACGAATAAAAATACTTTCATCTTCCAGTTTTCATATTTCGTTTGCATAACTTTTAGAACCTCCTAAATGAATATTAATTTTTTGGGGTAAAACTTTATACTTTAGATCTTATTTTCTTTAATCTAACACTAACTGTAGCAAAATCATCAATGTATAGTGAAAGAAAGGTTGAAAAATATAGAATAAAATGGAAAATAAAATAAAATACTTTTTTCTTCTAGAATGACTGCAAATTGTAACAGATAATTACAATTATTTTTCCTACCAGCTTCAAGTCTTTTTACAACTGTTCTCATTTAATTCTGTTGTTTAATTGTTCATGTAACTGTGTCTACCTAGTTGTAAAAAATCACTAAATGACCCAGCAAGAGCTTAGGGTAAACAGACTATTATATTACATCACACAATGACAGCCCACATGCGTTCCTCAAAGAGAGATCATGAGAAATATTTTAATTTCATTTTCTTCATTTCTTAGATAACCCAATAAATTTCTAACTTTAACATTTTAGTTACTTTTATTAAAAATCTTATAACCAAATAAAAAATTACCAAAAAAACAAGAAATTTAGCAGTTACTTTAACTTTGAGACCTTTTGCATTTAGGTCTGTGGTTTTTTTTTCTTACTATGTTGCTTGTCCAAAACATAATTCATGTAGTTTTTAAATATGTATTTTAGGACACAAAAAATACATCTGGCATTAGAATAGAATGTCCCAAAACTACTATAATTTATCTGGCTGTCAAGCTAACCTATAAATAGATAAAAAAAATTCCATTACTACTTGAAGCAACATCTTTAGTAAAAATATTTTATTAAAAAAAATAATTTTTTGTGTACAACAGACTTGTAGTGCTTATTAAAAGCTTGTAAGATTTCATAAAGATATATTTAATAAATTCAGAATTATGGTAAAAATTACTATGTATAGCTTCACAGATACCAGGTCGTTCTATTTGACCAACTCCATGTACATAGGGTTAATGTCATGAAATAATTAAGTAATCAAAATTAGTGTTTCTGATTATTACTGATTTCAATATGCTATCTAACTAGTAGTCAATATATTGTCATTATGATTTTTCATTATTATTTTGAATTAACTCTGTTCAACTTAGTGTCATGACTTATAAAAAATAAACTAATTAAAATTAAGAGTTTCTGATTATTACAATTTTTATTATTTGAATAATAGTTGAAAAATTGACTTGTTGTGAAGCACAAAGCTACATAATTGGCTATCTTTGCTATGCTTATCATGGGTATAGAAATCAGGTGTTAGCATTATAAGTTTTTTTGCCTCGATGTAGTAATAATTAATTAGTTGAATTTAATCCATTAATGAGTTTGTTGATTAATAAATTAGTATATTCCATTAATTGTCCAGCTCTAATTAGAGATAATTAGGAAATTTCGTGCAGGAAATTACCCAACAAGAAAAAGACCAGTGAAGGTTTTCTTTTTGTTTTATTGTACAGAAGTTTTTCTAAATGCAGTTTATGTGCTTGTAAAGTTTACGGTCAAATATGTTGATCCTCCATTATTTTTTCTAGATGTGAATAGTGTAGATCTTCAGAATTATGAGCTGAATTCTATTGCTGGTGCCTTAAAGAAATACCTTCGTGAGTTGCCAAACCCTGTGATACCTGTAGAAAGCTATGAAATGTTCCTGGAGGCTTCCAGTAAGATTTAGTTTGTTTGTTTTTTCTTGTATACCCTATAGTTTTTTTGTGTGTAAAAGTAACTCATTTAATGCTCATTTAACATTATTTTACACAGAAAAACAGCATTAATACAACTACTTTACCTTAAAGTTACAATACTGCAGATGTTTTTATATTTGTACTTGTGATTGATAAAAAATATATAAAATGTAAAGTACAATATTGAGTTTAATGTTTAGATGTAAAAACTTTAAAGAATCATCCAGTATTCAGAACAGATTGAGGAAAATATTGTTATTTAATGTGTTGTTATTTTTAGCTTTATCGGGAAGGTTTGATAAACAAATGATGGTATACAGTTGCATGATAATTAATATATTTTGTGTTCAGTGATATCATGAGTACATGTCAGTATTTGGTATGATGCCCCATAAATGTTATACTTGTTTAATTTCATTTATACAATAGCTCCATCAAAGTAGCTGCTGTATCTGCAAGGCTTAAATCTCTCACTAAAAGCCCTTCTGATTAAACTACCTATTTGAATTAAGTTCTGCTTCTTTAATTAAGAAAAAGTTGACTTAAAAACGAGTGTTTTCTGTTTCAGTGTCATTTTAGTTATTGAAATACATTTTTAAAAAATGCAGTTTTTTTTTCTCTCTCATTTTATTTTTGCCTAAACTCATCTATATGATATGAAGGAGATTTGCTGTTCTTATAAGTTTTAAGAATATGTATTTTCTGGAGTTTATTTCTAAAGAAACGTCTCTTATAATGCCTTAAAATTTGTGGCTCTAAATAAAAACCTTTCCTTGTTAGTAACTACAAATACTTACAAAAGCTCACAGATTTTCCACATACTGAAATGATAATGGTTGACCAATCTCTCAAAATTAATTCATGTATAAGGCAACATTAATTATTAAGTAATTCTGAATACAGTTTTTTTTTAAAGCGAGTAATGTTTCTTACATGAAAGTTAAGTGTTCACAGCATTTTTTTTTTATTTTTTGAGAGAGACTTTTTTTCAGAAAAACATGAATTAGTTTTGATCCTGAACTTAAATCTCAGAAGTACAATAGTGTTAAAACATGGAACAGATTACTAATGGTAGAAAGCAGAAGAAGCTGAATATGGTCAGCCTCATCACTAGTCATTCATTCTGAAAATCAAATTAATTCTACTGATATTTTGGGTGAAAACTCAGGATTAAAAATCAAGTATCTCACAAAGTTTTTCTGATAAGTTGCAGGATCTTTTTGTGGTAAAGTATACTTATATAAAAAGTAAATAGTTCCTATGCTTGAAACTCTTACAGTCACCAAGTACAAAGGGCTAGCATGGAAAACATAGTATGTATTAACACTCGGTCAGTGACTTGAGGAGACATTTTTGGTGAGATGTTTTCTGGTACTCTCTCTCTTTTTGATTTTGAATACAGCTTTGAACTTTGAATTGTCCACTAGCATGGCCAGATTTGCATTATTTTCCAGGCTATGAGGGAGTAAAACATATAACCCCATCCATATTCCTATGCAGAACAAGGCTAAGTTCTGTCAATAGACATCATCATTATCTGATGAAGAATTCTTTGATTAGTATACAAAATGCTTTGATGTTACTGAGTTTTATAGTTATTTTATTTCTCACCATTGTATGCAAAAGTACTGTGGCATGTGCAGGCATCAATGTATATGTTTTGATGATTTTTGCTTGGAATTGCTGACAAATACTTGCAAAGTCACTTGCAGAAGCTAGCCTATTGTTTGAATGGTGAGATAGTAATAGTAGCGGCAAAAGTAATTATATCAGAGCTGTAACAAGGGCAGTAGTAGTAGTATCAGTAGCAAAGATGGTAGCAGTAGCACAAGAGCAGTATCACTGACATAGCACCTAGGGTATGTAGACCAATCAAAGGTTTTGTATATGTTTTTAGACTAAAAAGGATCTTATATTCTTAAGTACTTTTTATTTGACCAACATGAACACTCCTACTTTTGGTAAGAGGAACACAGTCTCGCCAACCCCTAAATTCCTCATCTTTGTGGCCAAACACTAGTGAAAGCGAGCTCTTATGGCAGTAAAGTTTTTTTTATTTTTAGATTAGCAGATTGAGTCCTTTATCAGAGTATATATATTTGAATATCTGAAACTACAACACCCTTCTATAACTCATCAAATCTCCCAAATTAAGTCTCATCAGTTTGAAAGCTGGGTGTTAATTATTGATAACATATTTTTATCTTTTTTTTTCTTAGGATTTACACAACTTTTTAAATCATAAAACAGGTTACAAGCATATATTTTTGAGTTAGTAGACTGTGAGAAATACATAATTAACATTAAATCTGTTTCACTTTCTTTCAGAAATAGGAAATGATGACCAGTGTGTTCTTTGTCTTGTTCAGTTAGTCAAACAACTTCCTGTTAATCACAGAGTTACCCTTCAGACTCTAATGTCTTACTTTTGTCGGATTTGTCAGTTACAACACATGCGAGGAATCAGAGACTCCCCTACTGTTTTAATTAAAACGATGTGCCACATTTTGCTTCGTCCACGTTGGGAAAATATCATGTAAGTGTCTTGTTTTAAATGTAATAGTAGTAGGCATGAAACTACTAATATGTAATGTTAGTGGTGGTTGCAGTGTAGAATGTATATGTGAAAGTTGTTTCTATTAAGTTTATAAGCCAAATTCTCTTCATTACTGTTAAGTTGAGGGTTTGAATGTACTGTACATAGTTATGCAACTCAAATTGAAAATGTAATGTTGGAATACTGGCATAATATGAGTTTGCTACTGTGTTAGGTATTGTATAAACAACCAAAGAAAAAATTTTCTTTAAAGACGCATGATGCTTACTTAAATTTCTACATAGTACTTTATCCTTAGTGAAGACCAATGAACAGGCTTTCTGTACCTTTATTTATGTGATTTATTGTTTCAGATTTAAATGAAATTAGTGAATAATGGCTTTCTAAGCAATAAAGTTTTAAAAGATAAACAGTTTAGAAAAAGTATAAGGATCTTACATTAAGTGTGTCAATCTGTAGCAAATTTTATAGCTTTTAGAAGAAGAAGAAGCATTCTTTTGCTTTTTGGATCCTACTCTTCTAGTTATCTTTTACACCTTTTTTACTTGCAGTTGATGTCAGATTAATAGACAAGGTTATTTTATATCTTTAATCTTTCGTTGTTTTAGTTTTTATAAGGATTATTTGATCACTGATCAGTAGTTTAAAATTAGGGATGGTGGTAGATAATAGCCTTAGAGGCTTTACAACAGATACAAAATACAATGCTTTTTTCTTTCTTGTTACCAGACAAATAGTTCACAACACAGAAGCACATATACGTATTGTGGAGTTGTTGTTATACAAAGGTGACTGGGGTGAGAAGATGCCAGTTTTTGATTCAGCCCCAGGTAAATTAATAGACAAAACGATTAGTTATTGTTTTTTTTTGCATGCTTAATCTATTTATTTTAGATTAACATAAAATTACAATAGATAAAAGAAAATAATATTGAAACCTTCACTACATTCATGAAAAAATGAAATTACATCTGTATTTGATGTTAGAAAAACAGTTACATGCAGTTTACGTATCAGAGCCTAAAATATCAGTTTGTTTAGAACAAAAACATTGATACAAGAAGGTTGAAAATATAAACTTGGGTAGGTGTTCAAAACATTTTTACACAAGACTAATACATAAAGTAAGAACAAAAAAAAGCAAATCAAAAATGGCTTCAGCTTTTCATAGTTTTTTTTTAACTTTATAAGGAGCGAATCGAATTTTCCTTACTGTGTACTAACAAATACGACTTACATCCAATGAATGCAGATGAAATTGTGTTATAATGGCCTTAAAAAAATTTTATATGGTAGAGTAATTCTAACCTCATGATAGAGAGACTACACACACTTGGATAAAATGGACTCTGACAAAATTGTTAAAACGTTTGTTACAACTTATCTTTCTTTAAGAAAAGGGTTTATTAACTTATATCTTAAAATTTTCTGATACTATAGAAATATAGTAAACATTGAGTTGCATTATGTCTAAGTAATATTAATTCTCTTCCTTCTTTATATGTCTTTACCAGAAAAAGTTTTTATATTTGTCTGCCTTTCTAACAATTTGGTATTCATTTTTATTAGGTTTGTGAGTTTTAATAAATACACAAGAAACCTGTTAAATCTCAAAGTGTTTAACTATGTATGAAGTTACTTTGTGGCACTTCTACAGTTAATTTTTTTGTATTAATTAATTTGTATTGTCCTGAACATAACCGAGTATAAATTCAGCATTTCTTTGCAAACTAAAGAAACAGAAATGAGTAAAGTTTAGATGATTTTGTGAACTTCTTGAAAATGATCAATTTTATTATAATAAACATTAAAATTGTAACATTTCCATAACAGGAGCTTCTTTTAAAGTAATTAAAAGTATCTGGTGAGAAAACATTTTAAATTTTTCTGAAGAAGTTGAAGTTCATAATGTCCTCTTTTGTAGCCTTACCACCTCGAAGACCATCCTTTGTTTCCAGTCAGTTACCATCAGAGACATTTACAATGGGAAACTCTAACACTGGAGGATCTGTGGCAAAAAGTAGTGGGAACAATTCTGAATACAGCATTGGTCCTTCTGTCAGATCTGTAGAAGGACCCCTTACACTGGAGGAGGCAGAGTGGTATTGGGGAGATATTACAAGGTCAGAAGGATTCTGTTGCTTTAATTTAGATTACTCAGCCATTGGATTTAGCATTTCATTGAATAGCTAGTGCCATATCACAGTGTAGAGTTTCTTTTAGATTTGCATCAGTACTTTTAGAATATGTAAAATGTATATATAATAGCAGCTCCCAAATGGCAATTCTGTGTCAAATAAATAGTGTAATAGTTACATATTCTTTTCACTTTGTGCATGGTTTGCAAAGCACTATGTACACAATAGTGTTTAAGAATCAGTTTATTTAGCATTACACTTATTTAGTAGTATAATAGTCCTTACATCTTTTAGGGATATCAATTTTATATCAACTTAACTCTGTGGAGATTTAATTTACAAAAATAAAAAGTTTTATTTTTACACCTTGAGAAACCATATACAAAGAAATGAATTTGTTTTAATGTAGGAATATATATAGACATACACACACTCACAAAGTAATTAGAATGTTTTTGTTTACAGTTGTTCTTATTTGGAGAAAAAAACTATTCTGATTTACTTGTTTCAGCAAAAGACAGTTAAACTATTTTCAGTGAATCTTTTGAGGAACAGCTGTTCTTTATCTAGGGAGGAAGTAAATGAGAAGTTGAAAGATACTCCAGATGGCACTTTCCTTGTAAGAGATGCTTCCAACAAAGGATCAGGTGAATATACACTCACACTTCGGTAAGTTGCATTGCTAGATTTTGGTTTTTATTTTCTTTAACATGCATTCTGAAAATATTATAACTTGATGTCTTGCAGTAAAATAAAGAATAGACTAAGGATTGAACTAATATTTATTACTTTTGAAAATTTTGAGTCATATTGACATTTTCCATATTTCAAAATTGTCTGTGATTTACTTTTGATCTTACGAAAATAAAAGCATTTAAAACTTCATTTATGACCAATGAATATGCTTCTTGTATCGGCACTAAATTTTTGGATACTAATTAAATTAAAACATATTTGTCTATGAATATGTTTTAATTTACAAAGTGTAGTCAACAGTTTTTCAATTTATAAAGAATTTAAAAAATTATAATAACTTAACCTAAAATTTTACTTAGTTAATTATCAAAATCATACCTTCTTCCAAAGTTTATGAAAAATCAAAGAATATTTTTCGATATAGTTTCTATTTGTTGTATATCTTAATATCAGAGTTTAATGGTTACAGTTATCATACCTGGTATAATTTTAATTTGTTGACTAGCTGGTTGGCATATCTGTGTAATGTATTCATCTCTGAAAGTTTGATTGGCATAAATGTCTTGAGCTTTATCCAACTTCATATCATTTCAAAGTTGAACATACAGTGGCCATTCTGTGCATGAGTGTAATTACAGTGTTATGTTTATAATTTTAGGTAGTGAATTACAAAATAATCAGTTTACAATCTATATTCTGTTATATATTATTAATTTCTATGATATTCTACTCATCTTTTTATTTATAGAGGTAATAGTTCCCTAGAAACTCTAAAATGGTTATGAATAGTGTTTTTATTTGTTCTGAGCATTTGAAATGTTTCTTAAAGGTAACAGTTTTTATGACATGTTTTTACGTTATTGAACCCTTATTATATATGCATAAAGACTTAATATTGATTTTTTCTTTATTAATTTCTGACCTTGTTTTAAGTAGAAATACTATCACATCTTATTTTGTTTTTGAATTGACTGATATTTTTAATACAATAATATGTTCAGTCATAGCAAATGAAACAAGTCAGTTGAAAATATTATTAGAAATATCAAAGATCACAAGAAAATATATTTTTAGTTTCCTTCACTAAATGATACAAATTCTCTTCAAATGTAAAAATTACTGTGAGTAAATAATTACTGTCTTGAACCATTTTATTTGACTTTTAAGTCAACATGCTTAATTTTTTGATAATCTTTATTTACTATATTTATTAATTTTTTGATAATCTTTATTTACTATATTTATTAATTTTTTGATAATCTGTATTTACTATATTTATTAAAGGAAAAAAATAATTGTTTTGTGTTCTGTGGTTATATTTTTGTACTCTTCTAGCAAAGGAGGAAGCAACAAGTTAATCAAAATTTATCATAAGAATGGAAAGTTTGGGTTCTCTGAGCCTCTGAAGTTCAACAGTGTTGTGGAATTAATTAAGTATTATCGCAGTGTTCCACTATCTCAATACAACCGAACATTAGATCTGAAGCTACTTTATCCAGTGTCTAGGTTTCAGCAGGTCAGTTGGCCTTTTTAATTACTTGATGATTTTGATTAATTTTTGTTAGATGATACCTTTTAGTTTTCTGGTAAGTCTCTTAAAAAATTCAGACATTTTGTTTTCAACTTTCTGTTACCTCTTATCTGTCCATTTGTGTTCAAAAACCATATTCAGCTCAGTTACTTATATTTTGATGCAAAGAAACATAATTATGATCTAAAGAAATTATAACCATGAGAGTAAACGGAAACTTATATTACATAATAGTATTAGAACTGATTTTCATTGTTAATGTTAGTCAAGTACTGTTTTTGAATTATTATATTTTGGACCAATTAGATTAAAGTATTTATCTGGAACAGGATCAGATTAATTGTATGAATCAATTATAGCTAATTGATAGAAATAGAACTACTGACAAATAACTTCATACTCAGGGATGTATTTGTAGATTATCAATTAAACAATGATTATGTAGGAAAAAGCTTGTCTACAGCTATTCTTTACTGCTCATCTGTTTGGTGATGTATTTGTGAAAAGAAAATGGATCGGTTCAATTACATTCCATTGTATAACTTCAAGTAGATTTTTAGACATATTTAATACATGTTAGTATAAGATGACAACAACCATTGAACAGTGAATGGTTTTACAGAGTGAAAGATCACAATAGACCTGCCAAACATGTATGTAGCTTTTCTATTACACACTTGTTTTACATAAATGCTGTGCTGGAATGCTTTATAATAATTTTGGCACATTAAGAATTTAAAGGATTATATGAATGATTTATGTAGGCAAATTGTACAAGATAAATGATAAATTGCTAAGAAGAACTTTTGTCACTCAGGCAGAGGATGAGGAGGAAAGCACAGCTGATGTGGAAATGGTGGCTCAGAAATTAATGGAAGTTAACAAAGAATATCTCCAGAAAACTAAGCAGTATGATCAGTTCTATGAAGATTACAGCAAAACATTACAGGAAATTCAGCTACAGAGACAGGCCCTTGATGCCTTCAATGAAACGGTAGCAGTGTTTGAAGAACAAATTGAATTACACATGGACCATCAAAAAGAAGCTATGCAGCATGAAATGCTTGGGTAATTTCACAGGATTTAAAATACCTTTTTATGACAAGAGAGGAGAAAGCCTTAGCAGTTTGACAGTTATAAGCAGATGTACACATACACAAGCTTTTTTTTTTTATAATGGTTAATATATGTAGAGAAAGAGAGCAAAAAGGGGGGGGAGATATAGTTACAGATTCATTTTAACAATTCAACTTATGATATGTTAAGAGTATTAAAAACATTATCAACTTAGCTGTTGAGTATAGATAAACTGAAGAGAAATAATAATAATATTTATATTATTTTATGTTAAGTATTTCACCTTCATTGATCACACTTGATTCTTCTGTAGTAGTACAGTTTTAAGTTTCTCACCAAATTAACTTTTATTTGCATCATTTGAAATAATATATATCTATATATATTATCTATAACCAGTAGAAAGTCAAGGTTTTCATCTATCAAATGACATATTGTATAACGTATTGTGTTCTGAACAGATAAGCATCAGTTTCACTCGGAGTACAAGTGTCGTTCCCATGGGAAGGTTAATGACTAGCTTGGATGAATTTGTAATGGCTTTTGTCACAAAGTTAGAAAGCCAGATAAATTTTGGGAGTTAGGGGAAATTGTCTACTTTTGCATGTTCTTTGGTGCATTTTTTAATAAGATAAATTTAATAATAAAAATTATTAATATATTATTACCATTAGTATAAAAAAGTAGGGTTAACTGTCATCAACAATTGACAGCAAGAAAAAAGAAGATTGGGTAAGTACTTTATTTCATGGTTTTCATGTTTATTCTTCATTTATTATTATAAAAGTAATTAAAATGTAAAAATAGGGATCTTTTTAGGTTAATTAAGATTAAATTAGGTAAAATAAGTAATAATATAATAAAAATGTTTCACAAGGCACACATGTGAGCAGCTCTTGGGTAATGTAATTCGATAGCGTAATGTGAGCTGCACGTTCCCCAAGGGATTTCAAAGGGTAATCAAAAGGGCAATAATACAATAAAATTTAATTATAAATAAATATATATTGTTATGAGCTTAAAGCAACTTAGGATAAATTAAAATTTGAACTTATTTTAGAAAGAAAAAAAGGTAATTTAGATTTATTTTTAATATTATTTTTTGGTGGTTACAAGGTCAGTCAAATTGACCGATCCTCTATAGAGATATGGTAGAGAAAATAACAGATAAAATATAAAGTTTTACTGAAAAAAAAACATTTGAAATGTATTTAGGAGGTTTTAGGGATTACACAAAGGAAATTTGAGATTTTTGAGATGAAGTATTCTTAATCTTAATATGAAAATTACTTTGCACATAGACTATTTAAAACAAATATTCAATATATTAATGGGCAAATCTTTATTTTAATTTGTAGATTTTTTTGTATGTGAAAAACTTATAATTTTAACTGAAAGACTGCCAAATTTTGTGAAGATATATACACCATACTGAAAGTTAGAAGTATTAAATCTATAAAGACTTTACATGAGTACAAAGAGGTCATGTGGTCAGTCAAATTGACCGAGCCCATGTTGAGAGAGTTAAACTCCTTTCTGTGTATGTCACAAGGTTTTAATTTTGCTTTCAGAACTTAATTAAATAACTTTACTATCAATATATTTTGATGAAATTAACATTTCATGTATGTTATAATTCAAAGTTTTATATTATCTTAAGTTTTAATTCCTTTATTTCAAAAGAAACTTTAAAAAATACTTGAACTTCAGTTTTGTTGTCACATGATGCATGAATTCACAGATCTTAACACTTTGTTTCTATTACTTAAATAATGGCACATGTAACAGTGTACAGATACATCCAGACTGAATTCTACTCCTAAAGCCTTATTTACCTGTCAAAATTTCAAGTTCATTCTGGTCAATTTAGAGAACTCCAGAAACATTTATTATCCCCCTGACAGTAGCCACTCCCACCTTCTATAGTTAGACTTGAGTTTACAAGCCACATCTACTTATTTAGCATACATGTTTATAGCCAATAGAAAGAGCTAATTTTAAACTACAATTTCTGAATGGTAATTTTAAAATTGATACATAGTATTTATTCTATAAGAAGTGTGTCAAACTGCTCTTAGCATTGTTGCAGTTTTACCCTTGCTAGCACTTAGCATTGATTCTCACCTTGATACATGCTAGTTTGATAGACAGTTAAATTGTATTTAGGTTTTAATTTTATATTTTAGTTAATTATATATTATTTATGTTTTAAAATTCATATTTTGAAAGTTTAATAATCTTTTAATATAACCTAAATGTTGCCTCACTTCACGAGACTTTCATTACTAAGCAAGTGCAAAGAAATTTTGCCAAAGGCTAAAGTATCTCTTTTGGTGATACCATTATATCACCTGGGACACCTGTTGCCAGGTGTAAAGAGAATAATAAATGGTAAAGGACAGGAAAGGAAAATAAAACATTAAAAATATACTATAAGTGAAAAGGTAAAGATGTGAAATAATGAATGTATCTCAAAGAAGATATTTTAAGGTTATTCAACATAGAGTTAAAAAGTATGTACATATTTCTGTTTCTTAGTTTTAAACATTTCATTGCTCTGTATGTTGAATATCTACAGTTAGTGATATGGTAAAGTAAAAAATAAAATACAAACATTTATGTTTGAAAAACTTTTGATATTCATTTAGGAGGTTATGCAAATGAAATTTAAAAACTGTAAGAAAAAAAAAGTATTTTTAGACTTATGAAAATCACCTTGCATTTGAACTATTCAGAGTCGGAGTGCAAATAATAACAATAAGTAACAAATTTTTAGTAGAAATAATATAAAAAGTCAAATTTGAATATTTTTCTGAAACTAAATGCTTTTAGGAAGGTTCCTCTCAAGTTTGAAACAATTTCATCAATAGTTTATTTTTGGAATTAAATTTGAGTTACATAGCCTACTTGTATAGTAAGTAGGACATTCTGAAAGGGTTAATATCTAACTCAGGCATACGTGGAGTTTTAAGTAAGCATAAGTAGAAATTACATTACAAGTAAGAAGGTGAAATATTTCTTTCATTGCAAACAGTTGTTCTTCCTTACTTAATCTCATTCCCCCCCCCCCCCCCAACAATGGCACAACATTAAGTCTGTGGACTTATAAAGCTAGAAATTGGGTTTCAATACTCATGGTGGGCACAGCACAGATAACCCATTGTGTAGCTTTGTGCTTAACTATAAACAAAAACTTAATCTCATATTAGGTCTTCAAAACTTCTGAACTTGTTTCTGCATCTGGTAGCTTAGCTAAAAAAGTTAGTTTTTCCAAATAGACCATATATTTTGTCATAATATACAGTTGGCTTTATCTTTCAAAACATTATATAGGTATTTTTAGTAATTATTTTACCACAAACTTGTACCATGTAAAATTATTATGCTTTAAAAAAACATTGAATTCATTAATCTGTATTAATTAGGCAGTAAAAGAGCTATTGTATACAATTTAAGTAGCACAACTTGTCTATTAGCTTATGTCTCATATTATTCCTGTTAGAAATTGTTTAAGGATAAATGTTAATTTGGGAAAATTTGGAATACAAGTTTATAAAAATTAATTTAATTCAAAATTATTCTGTTTAAGTATTTTAATTTTGGCTTTACTGTAAATAACAAACCTCAATTGCAATATTTGCTTGCTATGTAAATGAACTGTACAAGAGGGAGATTTTCTTTTACCTTTTATTTTTTTATATATAAATCTACAAGTATGAAATAGTGTAGTTATAAGGCTTTAAACCTTTATTTGCTGTTACAGATAAAATTTTGCTGATAGTGCTAAGATAATGAGGTAAGTTATTGACAAGAAATTTAAATAAGTTCCTGTTTTTCAAGTACTTTTATTGATAAGATTGAATTAGTTGAAGGAAATTTGTAGTTTTTCATTTTGTTTTTCTTGTCATATCATTACCTCTAAAACTTATCATAAATTATTTCTCTTTACACAGACTTGTTGAAAACTTCGACTTACTGAAGAAACGGTTACGCACAATACAAGAAAGTAAAATTCAGTTGGAGAATGATTTGAAACACCAAGCAGCATATAACCGGACATTAGATAGAGAGATGAATTCTTTAAAGCCTGAGATTATCCAGTTATACAAACAGCGAGAACAGTACCAATTGTAAGTGGCTGTTTATACTGAGTTTGTTTTTGTTATGTTGATAAACTAGAGAATATACAGTACAGATTTCATGAGAGGTAAAGAATATTTTTTCTTTTAAAGTTTAACAAATAGAAGAAGAAAAATAATTACAGTTTAGAAAATCCCCCTGAACAAACATGGTTAAGTAACTTAAAGACTGATTTAACTATCTAGCATAAAATTACTGTTGAAAAACTTCAAACTACTATTGTTAAAACTTTATTATGAATATTTTTTTCACATAGTCTTTGTTTTTCAAACCTGGTTTTAAAACTCTGTGAACTTGTAATATTAAGCATATTAAGATATCATTAGGTGATAAAATTGATATTATCCATAGTAAATCTATCCAGAAAAATTCATCATGTCAAACAAAATCCCAGTAACAGATTAAAAAGTATGTGTATATAAAACAAACCTAACTTTTAGGTAGTTTTCTTTTTTATCAAGAAAATCGACAGAGTTATTCTGGGCCATCTTGCAGCATAAGGAAAGAAAGAAAATATTAAAATGTGTGTTTTAAGCAGGTCTAGTAATATGGGTTTCATATTTATATAAGCATTTGTTTAACATACTTAACTGATAGTCTAACCTATCTTTTCTCCAGATGGTTACTAAGTAAAGGACTGAAAAAGGAAAGAATTGACAAGTTGCTTCAAGATTCATCTGCAGATGCTAAAGACCTGGCAAGGTAGTATGTGTGTGTGTGTGTTATGTAATTATTAATTTTGAACTGATATACAGAGTATACAATCATGTGTTGCAGCTATTTGAAGAATCTGCATAGTGTAAAAAAAGTTTGTTAGTTTTTGGGTTTTTTCTAGCATGTTGTACTTTTGTAGTATACCAAGAATATAGTTTTTTTGTCAAATGTGAAATATGTTTTTCGACACTAATACACTAGACTTAGAATTCCTAAGATTTTGCAGATATTTTAAAAGCTTTATGTCAAGTGTAAGTTAGAGGTTGATTAAATTTGGCTAAATTGCCGTAGTTTATTCAGGTAGTTCGTATTTAATGAGTGATTACTTCAACTAATTCAATTTTATGGTAATTTATATATTTATTTTCTCTTCCCTTTTATTCCATTATTAAAGCTTATTGGCCAGAAAAAGGATTATAAAAAAATGAATATATCTAAATGATGTTACTGCACTGATGGTAAATGTTATATCAAAAATTCTTGTTAATGGTGAAATTTCCTTTTTTTTTTTCAAAATAACAAATAGCTCTATAAATCCAGACACTTTAAGCCACTTTCATAGAATCAAAGTAAATGTATTAGACCACCATGGAAATGAAAATAATAATATTAAATACCAAGAGTGCATATTTCATTAATTTGAAGAGAAAAAAAGATAAATTACACTTTCACAAGGTTAATCCATAGCTAATTAGATTATGCATTATTATATAAATTCTGATTTGCATTAGAAGAAAGTTAAAAACCACACATTTTTTTAGAGATTCAGCTTTTGTCCAGGATTATGATAGTCTTCCCCATCATGATGAGTCCACGTGGTTTATAAGTGAATGCTCAAGGCCGCAGGCTGAGAACCTGCTCAGTGGAAAGTCTAATGGGACATTTCTTGTCCGTAACAGTCGTACAGGCCAGTATGCATTGTCCATAGTGTAAGTTTGTTTGTATTCTACTTTTTATTGTAAAGAGTTTATGTCAGGTATGGGTGGAATGGAAAACAGTAACAATTTTCAAAAGACTGCATATAATGAAAACTGTTATTTTTTTAAAGTGTGTTTATTATGAGCCTTCAGCTCCTTTGCTGTAGCCTTTGATCATCAGCTATACATCTTGTGAATACATAAAAGTAACTTTAATGAGAAAATTAATCTTAAAATTAGTATTGAATTAACAGTATTTATACTCTGTTATTTAATGATTTTTTTAAATAACTTTGTTTCATACTGCTTTCTTTACAAAATTAGAGAAATGTGTGTCTTTTAATACTTAATTTCAGAAGTTTTATTTTGTTCATTTAGTGAATTGTCAAAGTTTATTGAAAATAGGAATCCCGACATGCACTTAACATGGATTATAACTAATATTGCTTGTAATGTGTACTTTGTTATTTTTTGAGTGGTGATATAGTTCATATAAGTATGTTTGACTAAAACTTGGTTTTGTATACAGAAATGTGGCTTTTCCATGTATTTGCTGATTTCCAAGTTTTTACCTGAATCTTAAAAACATTCTGGATTTAAAAAAATATATACTTTTTCTATGGCTGTAAAAACATCCTCTAAAAAATTAAAATGATAAATTGCAATAACTGTAAAAATTGTGCATTTCCCTACTAACATAAAATACACTAAGCCTAGTCAACAAAAAAGTACATAAATTACAATAGGATGTACAGCAGCATCCAATTTCTGCATTTTCTTATAAAGCAGCCAATCTGTAGTTCTAAGAACATCAGAATTTATGGAAAGAGTAAGCAAAATGGCTGTTTTGAATTATATATATATATATATTTTTTTTTAGTTTCTGTAGTGCAACTTATCTTGCATGTCACAAAGTGAATGAGTGACAATGTTGATTCTAATTATTTTAGTTGCATAAATAAATTAATGATATAATCAGTATGTAACTGCTATGCAGCATCAAAATTAACATAAAACAGATTCATATAAAACGTGCAATATGGAACTTGCAATTATTGCACAATTTGTGACCAAACAAAAAATAAATTTTGAACTTAAGTATCAAGGGTATTAACCAACAATAATTAGATGTGCATCAACAGTAATGAAACACATCATGGGGACACTAAAATTTGACTGATGCAAAGATCATATTTTTCTGGGTGCTTTTTTGTCATACATCTTGAGTCTGCTGGAAGAAATGTGAATTATGCCAATTCATGCTCAAAATTGGTATAGACTTTATTTTGCTAATTGTTGTGTGAAAAGTTATTCTTCAATAGTTTTTTAATGCATTTTGTGCAAAAAATAATGCAATTCTTTCAAAGTATGCTTGAGACCTTTTCTAAGTTTTTGTTGTTTAAACTAACAATGTATAAACCTTTTGTATTTCCTCATCTTACAGAGTAAATTTATTTGTTCCTATGATGTGTGAAGGTTATAAATCTAAAAAGAAAAATATAGACACATAGAAGTGTGTACTGAATGTGTAACACATTTCTTATGCTATTTCTGGTGGTGATGGAAGTATCACATTACATCTGTCATTAGAATGAATTGTTACCATTTGGATTTAACTCATTACAATAAAGTTATATATATATATGTATAGACACAAACACATGCTGGACAGGACATATTTACAGTATGAAATATAATTTTTTAAATTTTTTTGTAAGAAATTAAAATAATTTGATATTGTTCATATTTTGACTTGTCAGTAAGGTTTAATTACAAGACAGTGCATGTTATACAGTATTTCAAGTGTAATTTGGTATTATTTTGTTGAAAGATATTAGAATTAATATCAGGGTAAATATTTGGAGACTGGTTCAAACTCCATTTTTTAACTTCCAATATATTTTTTTTCATTTTACATGATGGGTGTAAGGCTTAACCCTTTGACCATGACCTACTTTCATTGTAAGTAGGTATGCAACTCTTTTGAAAGTTCTTTACAAAAATGAAACTATTGGATGAAATTCTTTTCAATTTGAGATGAAAGGTTCTATAAGTATGTAGTTTTGAAAAATAATATATTTAATTTTGATTTTTTCTAAAGCAATGTTTTTGCATGCCTTTTTTCTTTTCACGTGTTGCCTATCCAACATGCAAAGTAATTTTCATTTTAAGATTAAAAATGTTTTTGAGCATCACATTTTCAAATTTCACATGCAAAATCATTATAATATCCAGATAGTTATCAAATGTTTTTTAAGAAAAAACTTTATATTTTATCTGTTACTTTCACTAACAAATATCTGTATGGGTTCAGTCGGTTAGACCGATCTCGTAACCACCATAAAAAAATTAGGAAATATTTATAAGTTGTGCCTTTTTTGTCCAGTAATGATTATGTA